GACCTGGCGCCTCTTCCCTGCGGCGCCACCTGGGCCCCGAACCCATCCAGCCGGGCCCCCAAAGGGTGCGGAGAGGATGGGGCCCTGAGCGCCTGCGGGTCCTGGAACTCAGGTGGAAAACACTGCAGTCGCGTCCGCTTGGACATTCCCTCCCCCGGTGGTTGCGTTGGGATTTCAGACACATTTTCAGACCGACAGGGAGTATTTGTCCGTCTAAGTATGTCCCAGACACTGCACGGGGCGCCCTCAGGCCGAGTTACTGGCTGGTGCGTCTGCTTGTCTGTTTGCTAGCGCTGCGGGGAGGGAGGGGCGCTTCCTGCTCAGTGGCCGCGGCTCGGAGATCGGGGCTGCACCGGGGACAGTGCTTGCCCTGCGCCGCTTCCCATAACCACTGGCTACCGGGCTGGCGTGGAGGCCCGCCCCGCGGTCCTGGCCGTCCCGCCCGCTGGCACATCTGTGCGGCCGCTGTGCATCCTCCATCCGCCTGGGATCCCTTCCCACCCGCTTCCTCCGGTAGCTTTTACCGGTTTTGCAAGACAGGGAGCCCTGGAGCTTTCTGTGCGGAGCTAGAAGGTGCTGGTCACCCGGTAACTAGGTGGCTGGCTGGTCACCGAGGCCCCTGAAGCTGTGTTTTCCCAGCTCCATGGATCCCTGGGGCATTTCGCCTTTGGCCTGCTCAGCTCGCAGTGGGCGCTCCACGCCCGGGGCGTGACTCGAGGGCGCTTGGAGGGCTGTTGTTGGAGTGAATCTCACCTGCAGCATTGCCTTTACTGTCTGATGAACCGGCCCCTTTAACAATTCCTCGTAGGATGGGCAACAGCACGTCGTCCACTTGGGGGAAGCCGGCAGCTGCTCCCGTGAATCAGATCCAGGTGAGTGGTGTGGGGGCGGGGCCGGGGTGCTGTGCACAGCCAGGTCCAGGGAGTGCCCTTAGGACACTGGTCTGCAGGTTCTCCCTCGCTGGCAGCTGCGAGACAGTCCTGTTTCTCCTTCCCTGTCCACCACTGACCACGGCCACATCCATCACGGTTCTGCCTTCATGCCTTTGGCTGAAACAGTATTCACGCACTGCTGTAGACATAACGCCGGCTGGGGAAAACTATTCTGGCAAAGATGAGGGAAAATACAGGCTCTCTCTAGCTCTGTTAGTAAGAATACAATATGAGGAGTTTTGTGGGGGGTTTTGGCGGGAGACTTTACATTGCTTAGCTCAATTAAAAATGTATAAATTCTTTGTCTTAGAAATTTTATAGAGGTTACTACTCCAGGAAAATATTGGTATACTTGGATAAAGACAGATCCGCTGTTTGTAGCATAGGTTTGATCTACTTTGAATTAATTTTTATATATATGCATGTGGATATCCAGTTTTCCCAGCACCATTTATTGAAAAAGCTGTCCTTTCACCATTGAATCTTGGCACTTTAAAATGCACCTATTCTAATGTTAGAAGTGTTATTTATGTTCATATATTTTAACATATGCACCCAGGAATTTTCCTTCTTAACTTATTCCTAAAAAAACACACATGCATATGTACATTCATGTAAAGATTTGTTATAAATACATTTTCCCTTCAGTAGACTTATTCTTTTTGCACTTAAATATTTTAGAATGCCAGGTGTTTTACTGAATCAATGCTTTTATAACAATCTGGTTGATTTGGTTGAAATAGACTCGTTTCCACCATGAGACTTTGAGGGTGGGTGGGTATGGAAAAGTCCCTGTCCAGCTGTCCTAGAATCACCCACACACTGTATTGGGCCTGGGAATATTCCTTGTGGCAATGTGCTCATCTTACCCGGTCTGTTTCCATAAACACAGTAGAGCACACATTTCTTACAGTCTAAGCTCACAGCCATATATAGTTTCACTCAAATACTAGTTGTCTTAAAAACAGGAGTTATAGAATTGTATTCTGTTCATTCTTTATTTTATGGGACATTATTAGACCCATTCTTCATTATTGAATTTTCTGATTTGGGGGGATATATATCTATTGTTCATTTCCAAGAAATTAGAGAATATGTGAGAAAGCATTTAATGACTTGCTTTAGTAGAGGCTTGTGTCCTAATAACAAGTCAGACTCTGCTGGATTGTAATTACTGTTGCATGAAATTACTTTCCTCTTAATATTGTTTACACTTGTATTTCTCGAATTTTCTTGCACAGAAGAGTTCCAGTCACAAATGCATGTGATGCACTTTGACGCGTACTGCTAAGATGAAATGCAGAAATGAAAGCCACACGTCCGTGTTAGTACTCTCAGATGCGATTAGATATACTTTATCATGTTTTTATGCTACTGACCTAGAAAAAAAAATTAAAAAGGGTAACAGACATCTAGGACCTGCGACCTGGATCCTTCTGAGATGACCTGGGACTTCACCAGGAGAGATTTTATCACAGCCCATTCACACCTCATCTGAGCCCTCGCCTGGATTCATACTCCTTTCCTTCATTGGCACTTGTCACCACTTTATCTCCCAGGATGGCGGACAGTCTCCCTACAGAGTTTGATGTAATTATCATAGGGACAGGTTTGCCTGAATCCATCCTTGCGGCTGCATGTTCAAGAAGCGGGCAGAGAGTGCTACATGTTGATTCGAGAAGTTACTATGGAGGAAACTGGGCTAGTTTCACCTTTTCGGGATTGCTCTCCTGGTTGAAGGAGTGTGAGCAAGACAGTGAGGCTGGGGACAGAAGCGCTGGTGCCTGGCAAAACCTGATCCAGGACACAGAAGAAGCCATCGCTCTGCGTCGGAAGGATGACACCATCCAACACGTAGAAGTGTTCTGTTACGCCAGCGAGGACACGGGTGACAGTGCTGAAGAGATTGATGCTTTGCAGAAAAATCCTTCCTTGGTAACATCTAGTACCCTCACCAAACCTCTGGATTCTGCATGCCTGTCCAAAGAAACACACTCAGACAGTACTAGCCCCGAAATGCCTGCCAAAGACACTCCACAACACGATGGAGAAATTTTACCAGAAGTAGCCGATAGAGAGGAAACTCAGGTGAAAGAAACGGATTGTGGAGAGAAAACTTGTATACACACAGTTTCAGACGGAGCTAAGGATGAAAATAAACCTGTGGTAGAAGACAACACGGGTCAACCAAAGAGAAATAGGATTACTTACTCTCAGATAGTTAAAGAAGGCAGGAGGTTTAATATCGACTTGGTCTCAAAGCTGCTGTATTCTCAAGGCTCACTGATCGATCTCTTGATCAAATCCAATGTTAGTCGCTACGCTGAATTTAAAAATGTCACCAGGATTCTCGCATTTCGAGAGGGGAAAGTAGAACAGGTGCCTTGTTCCCGAGCAGATGTCTTTAACAGCAAAGAGCTCACCATGGTAGAAAAGAGGATGCTGATGAAGTTTCTGACATTTTGCTTAGACTATGAACAGCATCCTGGGGAATACCAGGATTTCACACAGCGCCCCTTTTCCGAGTACTTAAAGACTCAAAAGCTAACCCCCAACCTCCAGCACTTTATACTACACTCGATCGCAATGACAGAGCCATCCTGCTTGACAGTCGACGGCCTTAAAGCAACAAAGCACTTCCTTCAGTGTCTTGGCCGGTACGGCAACACTCCCTTCTTATTCCCCTTGTACGGCCAAGGGGAAATTCCCCAGTGTTTCTGCAGGATGTGTGCTGTTTTTGGTGGAATCTATTGTCTTCGCCACAGAGTGCAGTGCCTCGTGGTTGACAAGGAATCTGGAAGGTGTGAAGCAGTGATAGATCATTTTGGCCAGAGGATCCGTGCGAAGTATTTCATAGTGGAGGACAGCTACCTTTCCGAGGACACCTGCGCAGGCGTGCAGTATGAGCAGATCTCCAGGGCGGTGCTCATCACAGACCAGTCCGTGCTCAAGGCAGATTCCGACCAGCAGATCTCCATGTTGACGGTCCCTCCAGCGGAACCAGGCGCGCGTGCCGTTCGGGTCGCTGAGTTATGTTCTTCAACCATGACGTGCATGAAAGACACCTACCTGGTGCATCTGACCTGCTCCTCCGCTAGCACAGCAAGAGAAGACTTAGAACCAGTGGTGCAGAAGTTATTCACCCCCTACGCGGAGACAGAAATAGACGAGGGAGACCCTCCGAAGCCACGGCTCTTGTGGGCTCTTTATTTTAACATGAGGGATTCCTCAGGGGTCAGCAGAAGCTCTTACCATGGCTTACCTTCCAACGTGTATGTCTGCTCTGGGCCTGACTGTGGACTAGGAAACGAGCATGCAGTCAAGCTCGCTGAAACCCTTTTTCAGCAGATCTTCCCAGGAGAAGACTTCTGCCCCCCACCGCCCAATCCAGAAGACATTATCTTCGATGGGGATGACAAGCAACCAGAGGCTCCTGGGACCAATACTCTCATCGTGGCCAAACTAGAATCCTCCGAAGGAAGCCAAAACCTAGACAGCCCAGGACAGCATCTTCAAAATTAGGAAAAAAGAAAAGGAGGCTGGAAATGCTACTTTGGGCCTTCATCCTAGCATCCGGATCTTCTCATTTAAAGGACAGTTTCCTGAGTAATTAGAAGTGGTTATGTGATGAGTGCCATTAGTCACTGGGTGTCTGTTAACCTGTCAGTAACTGATTCATTAGTTATTGGACTATTTCTTGTTTGTTTCAGAATGTACTCTGTGATCCAGAATCTTAAACGGTTAGCTTTATTTTAGTATTGGGCGTATAGGTGAGGGTTCCATATTAGCAACTGTGCTTAAAGGAGGGTTATATTGTATCTGCTAATGACTTTCAGATTTTATTCTTGTCTACAATGACAGTGTCTAAAGGGTATTTTACTTTGCAGCTAAGATAGTTGCTACCACCTCTGAGTAAAACACACACACAGTAAATTATGTGGGTGTTTTGTATATAATATAAACATATTTATGGTAGCATTAGCAACTAATGCAAGTGCCAATATAAAATTCATTTGTCTAATTAAAAGACTAGCTTTGCATGATCCTTTATTTGTGAAGGTCTGATGTTTACAAATGTCTCACTGTTGAATTCTCCTAAGCCACCCTTGTAACCCAGAAGGCAACATCACCACCACAATCTTCTAACATTAGAACAAGTGCCAGAAAGTCCAGTTACTTGTTGAAGAGCTCATTCTTGGGAGGTTCCGTCAGAGAAAATGTAGGGGAGAAGATGCGTTCTGATTAAATATTTCAGAAAATGTCTGCAGAGCCCTGGCACCGAAAAGACGAGTTTCCAACCAGTAACTCAGGCAAAAAGAAAAAACAAATGGCTCCAGGCACCAGATGCTTCGGAAGGACTGTTTTCAAATCCCCAAGGAGGAACCAAGTGAGTCCGTTTGAACCCGGGGTTCCCTTGCCCAGCCTTCTCAAATTCCTATGCACACTGCACATATCTTATTTTGAAGTAAAAAAACAAGACGGGAACAAATACAATATGATTCATCCTTTTCTCCGAGTCTGGTAGGTGGAAGAGCCAGCATTGGGATCCAGGCTTTCGTGATTTCGAAATCCTTCCATGAACGTTAACGTAGAAGAATGCGGATTCCGGAGGAGGAGGGAAAATGCCCCTGAAAGTCAGTCTATTGTTGCTGGTGAAGGAAAGGAGACAGAAATTGGTCTCTACTCATTACCGAATTGGAGAAATGGGAAGATTGGGAGTAAAAATAAAGATAGCTTAGAGCTGCGGACCTCATTGAGACAGAATTTGGCTAAGTTTTAACAAAAGAATGCGTTTTAATCGTGTACTTTTTGATCTGAACACCATGTCATGAGAAAACAGATGTACTAAGCCAGACGATGGTCTGAGTAGTCTTTTGTTGCTGTTCTATGTGTGGAAAATGAAACAAGAAAGATGAAGTCATTTATACCTTACTGAACGTAGAGAAGTCATAAATTGGTAGTATACGGTTTTTGAATATAGCAAAGTGATATTATTGGGTGGATCCTAAAGTTTAAATCCAGCCAAAAGAAAAATGAAAAATGTACTAAATAGAAGAGCAAGACGAGATGGGTTTTTAAAAAGCTACTTGCATTATATATATGGATCAAGGGCTTAATATTTTTTAAAGGGGAGATGCAAATCCATAAGGTTTTCTACTCTACCAGGCAAATTCATTGAAAGGATTGGTACAAATGAAAAAATACAAATAAATTCTTAGGATGATATTCAGATTTCCTAGTATGAAAAATGCAAATTGAAACAACTTTGACCTAATTTCTACTAGTTCATGCTAGTAGCAAAAGTTTTCAACTGCATGTTCCACATACCAGTAGTATTATTCTATTAGTAGATTTTAAAAGAACTATTTAGAAAAACATAATAAGAGCTCTATAACCAATATCTTTTGATAGATCTCATTTTGAGAAGCATATATCCAGGAAAATAAAAGTAAAAGATTAATTGTATAAAGATATTTCTAGTAACTCCATTCATTTGAGTTTTTTTAAAGCCCAATAATTGGGAAATGTATAAATAAGATTTTGTGTATTGCTATTGCTATCAAAAACTGTTATGTAGACATTAAATAATATTTATATATGTAAAATTGTATGGGAAAATGTTTAAATGAGACTCAAAGTGTTAGAATATAAGTTATATTTACTGGTTATATTCATGTACATTGAGGATCAGAAGAAAACATGATTAATTGGAATTTAACATTAAGAGGTCTTTATTTTCTGTAAAATACTGATGTGTGCTATGAAAAATAAAAGATTATGGTATACTGATTTGGTGAGAAATAATATTGATTCCTTGGAAAGTTCTAAAATTCTCCTTTAGATGAAAAAATATATATATTTAAATATTAAATTCAAAGGATAATCTCCAAAAATGTTGATGTCAAGTTTTACAACTCTTGTTGTAAATATCTGTTTGTAGTTCACTCTGAAGGAAATGCATCTTTAAGCATTTTGCAGTGTTTTTTTAAAAAATACATTTTTATTGATTTTATAGTTTTAAAGAACTAGGCATTCTTGGGGACATTGGTGCAGTGGGTTTATGCCAAAAGTTTTAAAAAATATATTTTTATTGGTTTCAAAGGGGATTTATAGTTTTAAAGAACTAGGCATTCTTGGGGACATTCGTGCAGTGGGTTTATGCCAAAAGTTTTAAAAAACATTTTTATTGGTTTCAAAGGGGAAGGGAGAGAGAGAGAAACATCAATGGTGAGAGAACCATGGATCGGCTGCCTCCTGCACGCCCCACACTGGAGATGGAGCCCACAACCCGGGCATGTGCCCCGACCAGGGAATTGAACCCTGACCACCTAGTTCTTAGGTTGATGCTCAACTATTGGGCCACGCTGGCTGGCCTGTGCCAAATTTTTTTGTAGGTCATAACTAAAGGCCTTGAGCACCCCATTTCTGCTTGAGACTTATTTGTTCCTCTATTCACCCCCATAATTAAAAGAACAAAGGTATTACATTCCTGCTCCCCTTGGATTCATCCTCCCAGACACCAGGGTTATAGCTTCAACTGCCACCCTCTCCTTGTTTAGTAACTGTAAGTGCTGCTCCGCGAGGGCACAGCCAGAACCCCTTAGCCCTCTGAGACCTTCCAGAACCATCTCCCATCCCCCGTCTGGCCCAAACCCAACCCAGGGATGTGGGAAGCAGACCAGACAGCACTGCCTTTTTGTGTTTTCTTGTCTCTCATTGATTTTCTTCTGACTGCTCTTTTGAACTCTTCTATCCTTTAGATCACAGCCTTCCGTGACTTTGAACTTGGTTTCTGGAGCATCGTCGCTTCCTTTCCGTGTTACCATGTTACCTTGGTTGTTCCTAGTGCTTGATGGGCTGTTCCTTTGCTGGCGCCTTTGAAGTAGTGAGCACTCTTCCTCTTTAGGTCCTGTTTCGGTTTTAATAATTCAGCCGTTTGATGAGATGTTTTTCTTCTGCTTCCCAGCAGATGGTGATAGAACGCAAGCTTTCGTTTTCTTCAAATAATTTTAAAAAATAAATGTTCAGCTACAGTTCACACTCAACATGATTCTGTGTTCGTTTCAGATGTACAGCATAGTGGTTAGACAATCATGTCTTTTTTTAAGTACCCAGCTGGCCCCATACACAGTTATCACAATATCCTGATTCAGTTTCCCCATGCTGTAATCTACATCTCCGTCACTGGTCTGCAGCTACCAATTTATACTTCTCATTCTTCCCCTTTTTT